GTACGCTTCGTAGGGCGTGTGACTACAAACTCTGGGTCTGCTGTCAGAAACAAAATTGTAACCTCAACCATGAGACAATAAGATTCGCGGCGACCAGATCACATGGCACAGAACATTGATAAAGTACGAGTTCTTCTCATACGGCAGTGGTATTAGATGATCGGCCGCCGTTGTCAGAAACAAAATTGCTCTTAACATTAGTCCTTTTAGACTTTTACATTAACTTTTTCCTCTTGAGACCGTTGACAGACAACGGCTGCGACAGTTATCGAGAATGAAAAATTCGTAGCAGATTTCCCCTGCGTACAACACATTACAGAAACTAATAGTGCTGTCGACGTCTAGAGAGCGAGAAGAATGTCAGTGTTAAGACTAACTGTTATAGACTAATTTTGTTTCCGACAACGGGCGCGCCCCCGGTCAGTACGAGTAACACGTTAACTGTTAACACCCGAAATCCTTCTCTTCTTCATTTCTTCGCAATGATATTAGTCGCCGACTCAAGCGCGGTCGCTGCTAGATGTTAACACCACGTACACTAACGTTAGACCAGAATACGTGACTTCTGACAACGTCCACCTTGTCACTTGGAACGGCAGCGCGCATACAACCATTTGGCGGTGGTCGATAAATCATTTACGACATACCAACGCTTAGACCGATATTTAATCAAAAATAGACCGGACATTAACTGATGACACGAACTCGCCTCGACACCATGTCAGCGAATAAATCTATAAATTTACCTAGTTACATACGCGGTCAAACAACGTTGGACTTGCACCTTAGGGCAGCGAATCTCTCCATCAGAAGGTCGTCAATCAATATTCTTAATTAAAAATCCGTAAAAAAAACGAGTCGTTCCGCACTGATCTGGGGATACCAACATGGCCCACTGATAGTTCCGGACAAGCACGGCAGTCGCATGTACGGCGACCCACTTATACCACCCTCACGGCGAGGCCGCCACCCTATGCTTGGCAAATCAACAATCGTGCACGGGCAGTGGCGCCCCTGGTGTCTGGGCCAGCAGATAACAGCATTACTAACAGTCAGCGCCATCTATGACCAGTCGTCACGTGCTATCGGCGCCGCTTGCCGGGCTGCGAAGAAGCGACGCTGGGAGTTCAGCAACTACGTGCGAGCAATTGCGTGCGGACCGTCGCCACGCCGAGCCAGGTAACCAGCCGGCGTCGTGGCGCTGACTCCTGCGCGAAGTGGGGGGAGAAGCTGTGACCCAGAGGGCGTTGCCGGCGGCAGACGACGGGCTCTCCTCGTGCAAGGGCCCAGGACCGGGCCGCCTGCCGCTGGCTGCGCTACGCATCGCTCGCATGAACATAACTAGGGCGTCTAACCGATGGCACCTACTGCTCTAGGACTCTCCTAATGCCAACTGCACTCTATCCATTGAATCATAAATGGACGGGCATAATTTCACCGATGCGATAGCACA